CAGCATTGAGTATTTTCATAAAGAACCACAGTATATATCATGGCAAGAAAAGTGCTTATACGGCATTTATTTTCACAACCGTTGGTTGCAGACTTGTTTTTCCAGTTAGAAAAACGTCTTAACGTATCCATGTTTTAGTATAGTTAAATTTAAAAAAATCAACCTTGTAAAAATTACCTTTTATAAGGTATCTCGTTTCTTATAGTTATATTTAGTAAACGTTTATGATCTTTATAAAGTATAAGTTACAAACGTTTTACTCACATACGACAAAAAAGTGACTAAGATGCTTAAATTCAAATTTGGGATTCTTGATGTCATTTTAGGCTTAAGGAGTCTTAAAAAATAAATTAGAATAATTCGAGATTGATTTTTTTCCTTTTAATGTCAGGCAGTGATACTCTTTTGTGATTTATTAATGTGTAATGTTCTTTAATTCATAGTTTTGTCACAAGAAGTGTGCCAAAAGCATTATCACAAGTTTCCTAATGCTAAAAATAAGTTATTAAAATTATCATTTACTGTTATTACTTTAGAATCAACCTAATAATCATACAAAAATTTATAAAACTAGAGATATGTTGTTATTTGTTGTTTATACAAATAATCTTAAGATTTAGGTATATATTCCTATATGTTACTGGCTTACACAGCACGTAAGTTTCTTTGAATAAAATTTCGTTTTAGAAAAAAAGTTATATTGATGAGCATTTTTTGTGACAATCTGCATAGTAATACCCTCACTTAATTTAACTTCAGGTACCTTTTACTAAAGTTATATTTCCTTTTTATCTGTGTATAATTGCAAACATGTCGCTCCTCATTTAATAGACGACCACCGAATATGATATGAAACATAAAAATTGACTATATCGGTCAATTTGTTTTTCGTACGGGAGTCAACATTTATGTATTTAATTTTTTTAAATAAATGCAAACTTTTCTGAGTGTAATTGCAGGGCGGCGCAACCCTGTAAAAATTTAGATTTCATAATATTTACAGAATTGAATGTTTAAACTTAAGAATGCCTAAACATGAATATTTGCGTCATTTAAAACATTTTTGACACTTTTAATATAGTATACCCACAACCAGCTGTTGCAAAAAAGCTACATAAGGACTTTTCTGGACAAATTAACACGTGATTCAAAAGATTTCAGAAAAAAAATTAAAGAAAGATCGGTAATAGGAAAATAAACCATTTTAACATAACGCTACCCGAGTTTAGTCGCAAATGCCACCTGAGTCTGTAAGATGTAGAGGAAGAACAGAAAAGGAATACAAGTAAGGTAATGCAACATTATTAGATATGCATTATAATACGAGGGTTGGGGCAAAGGTCATGGCAACTATTTTTTTCTTCTAGATATGTAAACGGATCATAAAACATATATGTGTCATGTGGAATTTCTGCAGGCATAGTGTGTATGCATAACTACAGATGGCTCTGTGATAGCTGGCTGTGTGGTAGCGAGGGCTCTGAAATCAGTCAGTTGGTGAGTGTCGTGCGGGATGGAAATAACAAGTTTTGAGCAGCGCGCGGACATCAAATATCCTTTCTCCGAGGGACAATGGATGGAATTCACAGTGAATTAGTAAGAGCCCTTGGGAAGAATGCCCTACATATCGTACAGTAGCGCGTGGTAAGAAATTTCAGCAAGACCGTGTGTCACCATTGATAGCAACGTTCGGGACGACCGGTAGTTGCCCGTCATCGACACCTCATGGATGAAGACAGACGATGACGTTATGGAGTTAGTCTCCCATATCACCGCGTTTTTTTCACACGACAACTGTTTGGGACAATTTTTTCTGCCTGTTTACTATTGAAAGAAAGACGTGCGACATTTTCTTTCTCCTTTCAAAAAAGTTGCAAGTTGTTCGCTTGTCACCAATCAGCTATCAAGCGCCGAATGCGCTGTTAGCTTGTTGTATGGGAATACCTTTTCCCTGTGTTAACCCCAAAGCGACCTTGGTGATTGGCTGTTGTGACTAAGCAGAAAATTGTCCAACAGTTTTCTTTCGACACATCCGACGTTGCCAGCACGCTTTAGAGGGCAAGTGGCATCGGAAACGCATCGTCCACAGGATATTCGTAATGACTAACAGCTACTAACGCAAAATCCACGAACTTCCAGCGTTGGTACCGCATACACTGACGGAAGTTCTAAATGTGGTGTGCTAGGCAATATGCTCCTACCATTTGCACGCTGGCAACAGGACGGCGTCAATTCTTTTCACGAATAAATCGCCATCGATAAATTTTGGGCCAGGGCATACAAACCAGAACTGAATGTCAGTCCTTTGTAGTGGCGACATCCTGGTCACAAAGGCAGCGAAGAGTCCGCAGAACCTTTTCCAGTCAAATTGATCGCGAAATCGTCGCGTATTACTAGGGTGTCATTGTTTGTCACTTCTTGCCTCATGCAAGCTTTATCGCACGGTACTACAGGGACTCATGTCACTTTATGTATTGTGTTATCATTCTTTTGCACGGTGAAGACCATATTGCCCTGTATACTACCGTAATAAATTCGTGTGTTACGATATTTCAGTGCTAGTCATTGTCCACACATGTAGTTAAGCCCTTGTTATCAAATATGTCAGACCTCTCGCATGCATTTGCCCCAACCATTCTTAGCTAGAGATCAGTATCAGAGACAAAGGAACTCTTGTACGCCAAACTTTTAAGCTGCACATGCAAGAGATGTAAGCACTCGTCATACAGAACTCGCCATTTTTTTTAACTGAGTTAAGTCAGTGTGATATGAAATAGTTCATCCGCTTGTACGTAGACTGCGTTCATTTTGGTCTAAGTTTTTTCCGTTAACAGCAGGAGTGGGTGTCATACTTACCCGACCACAATGGATGTTTATGTCGAAGGATCTAGTTTCACACAAATCTGTTATACAAACGCGCAGCTGTTTCATGATGGAACAAGCGTCTGCTTGTTCCATCATGAAACAGCTGCGTTTAAAATATAATTTAAACCGTTTAAAATATAATTGCACTGCGGCTCAACTATTTTCCTTTGCTACATCATAAGCGAAGTGCATATCAGCTCTTTATAAAACACACTAATAAAACAAATTTCTTCCACAATAACTGCGTCTCGTAGGATAATATGAGTAACTCGCCCAGCTCTCAGAGATTTCCAAGCAGACAACACCTTCTGGCATATCTGTATGCCATTTTCATTTACTGTGTGAAAATGATTTGTTTTTGTATCCCTTCGAGGTTTGCCTAAGATATTTTGAATTATCCTGAATAAAATAGTTTGATTAAATCATCGATGAAAGAACTAGACTGTAAATTTACATATTCAAGCAACGAAGACTTGTTTCGTCCAAATCCTTTTGATTTCGGTTTTTTGTAAATAGTATTTTATATGGATATCATAAATCAAAATTGAAGTTCCTGTAGAGATATTAGGCTAAAAATGAGAAGAATTCAAGGAAGTCATTAACAGTACCCGGCTTTCTGTAAATTCATCAAATCCAAATTTATTCAGTATTGAATGAGAAAGTCTTCATTCAATATAAAATATTTTATATTTTTTTCTTATTAAATATTGTATGTGGAAGATCGAAAGAAAATAATTTAATCCTGTTTTCTACCTAAAACTTGCACCTTTCATCAGACATTTAATCACAGTATTATGAAAGTTGTTATTTTTTATAACACTTTTATCTACATATTCCATGAATGGAAAGAAAAAATGAAAGAAAAGAATGCGAGAAGAAAATATTCCAAGAACGAAAGCCTTTTGTGTAATGCAAATAAGATGTTTCTAAAAATATATGTAATGCATATATTGGATTCAATCAGAAAGGCGAGCAGAGATCTGTTATAAGAAGCACCTTACAAATATGTTATTTATAAACTGCAAAACACCTTTTCCATATGAAAATATTTTGAAATGAGATGAAAGATGATAAATGCAATAACTAAAGTATTATTGTTTATTTTCAGAATTCAAATCCATCAAGAAATATCCAAAATATTCTTGGAATATAAGTGTGATTTTCTGGAAAATAAATTCCTATACTTCGTGATTCAAAGCCATTAATTTTTTTCCCAATTGCCTTAGATTCAGACTAAGTGTAAATAAAAAGCTTCCGAATATTATTCAATATAATATTTCTGTAGGCGTTCTTAGTCTATTAAACATACTGCATACGAACTGTGTTTAATTCGCAAGAATATTAAAATATATTATTAAAATGTTTTGATCAAATTCCTGATTTCAGAGCGACAATAATTAATCCGAATTTTTTAATAACTTAAAAGTTTTAATTATTTACTTATTTAAAATTTTTTTTAGTTCTGAAAATTCCTTTTTTGATTCCACGCTGTATGAGCAGAATGTAATACTTTTTATGCGAAGTCTTCACTTAACGAAGAAAACTGAGAATGCATAGTTTTTCTATTACGTGTTGAAGCTGCGAAGAAAACTGTGCATGTATAGTTTCTCTATTACGTGTCAAAATGCCATGTACCATATATTGCTCTAAATTAATCATTTTAAGTAGATGAAGAGTTAAAAACGTGTAATCTTATTCACGAGACTTAGATGAAACTGCAAACCGACGTTACTGCCTAATAATATTAAGAATAATCATTTAATATTAAGTAATAACATATGTTCCCAGCGTGTGAATAATAATGTTAATTATGAGCATAATTAACAGGAAATGAATAGCATTTGTTATTGTACGTATGTCTGAAAAATGACATTCTAATCATATAGATGGGCACTGCAGAAGAGTAAGATTTATGATAGTGGAAAATAAGCTCACACTGTTCGATACGTTTTGCAAGCAACATGAATAAAATTTTTATTTGACTGTGCGTATTTCATAGCTTTAAAAATGAATTATTACTTTCACAACTTTTTCTGTCTAGAAAGAATATACTTTGTAATGTATTACGTACTCTTCACTCTTCTGAGTATGAATGAGAAGATTGCGGGTTACACATAGTCTTAGAGATAACTTACCACAGCAGTTGTTCTCCTGTACAATCTGTGGTGATCAGCAATAACTTCCATGATGTCATAAGCAGTTATTGAGGGAGGTTCGTTTCTTCTGGCCAGAAGAGCCATTCTTGCACTATGTGGGACAGAAAAATTAAATCGAACAAAAGCAGCGTCGTTATGGAGGAACCACAGGTTCCAAGATTCATGAGAAGAGAGATGTTTACTAAGAATTTTTCCGAGGTCTATCTTCTTGTAAAAGGTCACTTCAGTTGGGCTAAGGAAGCAAACACGTTGGCTTGGCGGAGGAACTCCAACTGGCAAAGAAACTAGAAAGGAAAATAACGTGTTCCTTGTATAGCAAAACAGCTATGTGAAAACATGTCCGACAATTAAATATATAAAGCATTTTATGAGTAAATGTTTTAAAAAATTAGACCTTTATACATACATGCATATTCCCAAATTTGGGAGAACAGATGAATTTAGGGGGAGATCACCAAATTCAGAATGTTACTTTTGAGGTCGCCAATTATTTTTTAAAGCAAATACCGTATTTTGTTATATATATATATATATATATACATATTACATATGCTGATACAGTCAAACCCGCTGTAGCGAACTTCAAGGACTGAGATTTTGGCTATAAGAGCAAACGTTTTAAAAATAGCTGCAGGCAGGTCAGCTGAATATTAGACAACTGGTGGGTTGAATATCGATGAAACAGTCACACATAGGAGCCCACTTTAACTGGTTTTCAGAAGACGTCAGCTGGACTTTTGTTCTCTTTACGGATGAAGTATTGCTTGATTTACAAGCTGAATCTTGAAGGTTATTGATATGGAGAATGCACGAAACTGTCACGCCAGTAACATCCTCAAAATAAATGCATACAGAGACGTTGCTTTGATAGTTAGGCAGGAATTATTATCGGAATCAGCATTGATCTACGTATATTTCCTGACGGTATTGTGACATCCTTACTAAATATGTTTGCCCATTTTTGTAGCTATGAGCTTTGTTAGCTTTAATTATATAATCAATGTGCAATTGCATACCTAGTGTTAAAATGTTTTACATTGATGTAAAGAACATCTGCGAATATCTCGTTGGGTCGGTTTCTAGTGGGGTCCGACTGTCTCCCAGAAGGTACAATAATGCGGCTGAGCAGTACCTGTAAAATCACCATCGAAGTTTTCTGCTGCATCCACTTTTCCCTGTCCCTGCAATTGTTATGAAAGATACTGCGCGAATCGTCAGGTTTCACTTTGTCAGCCAGTACTTAAAATCGGAGGTAATGTTTCGTAGATAACTGACCATCATTATTATTCGAATTCAGTTCCATCGAGCATATATAAAACACTCTTAGAGAATGCTTAATTTTTAACTAAGATTTTTCTCGGAACATTTACAAGATAGGAATATGTTTATTTCGGGAATGTGCAAGTGTACCCAAACCGGGATATACGATCTTACTTTTATTATGAATCGGCGCTATTGAGCATGTATTTCCAGCAAATGTCATCACGTTCCGTATTGAGAGATCGCCAAAAAGCTGTTCTGCCGTCAGAAGTTCTATGGTTTTATTTACCATTATAATTTAGCCACTTCTTTATCATTTTCTTTGAATTTTTCATATTTAACGCTTTTTTACTACACCTCCTTATCTATGAAAGTTTCAACGAATTCAGTTTCATTTTTTACCTTAACCTTTGGAGGTGAGAACAGAAACTACAGAAGTATTCTGTTTCTTTAAAATATTACCATAAGAAGTATACACTAATTTTTAATCATATTTGCTTCTTTTTATTGTATTATGCCAAAAGTTTGCTTTTCGAAATTGTGTCTTTTGTTTGCAGAAATTTTTAAAAAAATTTACTTACACTGGAGAGAAACAATAATTTTCAATTCATATCCTTTATTTTGTAACCAGAAGATAACAGGCATCCCAAAAGTAATACACAAGCTTAAAAATTTGCTGTCGATATAATGTAATACGGAGGTTAAAGCTTTTTCACCACAAAACGTGTTTTCATGTTTTTTATCTCTTCTCACTAATGTTAATTTTCTCTGTGTTCCATACTCTATGGTGCGGTTTTTACTCCATAACAGCCGTATAACTTTTTCTTTTGACTATGAAATTAACTGTAAGCACATTATACGCTACATTCGACAAAGTTATAGGTTTCAATGAAATTAAAAGTAGTTTCTTTTCCTGTATAATATCAACATTTATTTAATTTTTAATTGAAGAAGACAATAGTGACTCATGCTATAAATGGAACTGCATATTAAATATAAAATATACAATAAACAATCAGGATACCTCCTATTAAAGCATTAACTGCAGCCAAACTTTCAAAAATAAAAGAGGGATAATAAAGAATGTTTAGAAATCCATGAAATTTTTCTGCATGTCACAAACCTCAAAAAAGAAAAAAAAAAAAAAATCCCCAAGCAAGAGAAGTAAGAAAAATTAAACAAAAACGAAACTTTACTAACTTCTGCTTGGGCTGGGTACTGTAGTACCAGTGTAACTGTCAGCCGTACCTCTTTCTTCAACAACGATGCACGGTTTACTTGATTCAGCTGTGCTTATCGAACTTGTAGCTGTAAGAAAATAAAGAAAACTTAGAATATTTTTCATTTATGGGATTTAAAAAACTTTTTTCACTGTTTAACAGCTAGAAAACATTAATATTTATTAATAATAATAATAGATTTTCAAAATACATAAAAATCAAGATTACTTTCAATAAATGAGTGCATCGTAACTAATGAAATAATTAAGGCACAAAATCAAAACACGATATTTTTTAAATTAATAAAATGGTGCATTTCTAAATAAAAGGATTTATTCTTTTCTTACTGAAAAAAGACTGAAAAGGAAATTCAAAACAAGATAGCATAAAGTTTGAGTGAAAAAGAAATAGACAAAAGAATAACAGTAAATAAGCATAAAGAAGAAACAACATAGTGGGATTTAAAAAAAAATTGCTTTTTTCAAATCAATCCTTTTTTTTTCCCACTGAAAAATAGCTGATGATAATTATTTTTTTTAAATGAAACAAGAAATCATTATCTGAAATATGCTTAACTTTTCTTATCATTCAGAGACGGACTGAGAACATTTAATATTAATAACATCTCAAAATCCGATAAAGCCTTTTCAAAGTTGGAATTCCTTCTGTCTTTCTAGAAAGACGGCAAGTCATATTTAAGAAAACAAACTATTCGATATAAATTTAAATAATTACATTTGTAAATATTTTATAATCTTTTGTTTGCGGATATTTTTAGCTTCATTATATTCTAATAGGCCACTATATATATATATATAAATTATTTTACAATTTTCTATTTAATATTTTAGAACCACATCTAATGTGTGTTATAATTATTTACCTGCTTGTTTTCCTTCAGATTTCATGGTGAAATTAAATTATTTAGTTTATTCTATGCTATGTAAAATTTAATAATCATTAAAATTTCTTGCCTGGATTTAGTATGAATGTCCATCTTAGTTTCCCCATAAATTAATATCCGTTATTGAAAAGCTGATGCGTATTAGCTCTTACTGTAGTCTTATCAGGAAAGATTTCATAAAAATTGTTTATAAATACCTGGACATGTAGACCATTAAACAAGAATCATTAAGACTCAGATTACCTTCTCGGTGGCGGAACTGAGAAGTTGAATTAATGTTTTCGTATTTTTTCCCTGTGTGTAAAGCATTTGACCAGTTTCTCTTAGAAAGCAATCCGCGAAGGTATCTTTCCCAAGGCAGACAGCATTTGAGTATTTTATCATAATAAAATAAATTAAGGTTTCAAGACACGTCTAATGAAAATTTTCATTTTAAGTTTAAAAGCAATATTATAAGCTTTAACGGTCATGATAGTTAGAACACTGAAACTTCAGATGATGGTCATATCAGCATGTGAATTATATGTAAATCCATGATTATCTAGAACGTGAACAAGCTTAAAACTATGCTTTCGCCGCAGTTTAAGACTTAAATATTGCAGAAAAAGGTTTCACCTTACTTTTTTTCTAAATTATAATTATTTTTATACTATGCTTATTATTATAATTATTTTTAAACTTCGCGGTTTTCAAAATGCGATGAGAAACACTACCTTATCTTTCCTCCTTCCAAAAAGACGCAAAGGAAAATTTTACAGAAAACGTTATGCCATTATATGTGGAGACGAAAGGCATTAGCAGGATCAATAGCATCATTTCGTATAATTATCTGAATACCGTATGGTAATGTTTATAACATTACTTCAGTGTTTTTGATGACCACAATCAGCTGGATAAAATTATTAAATAATATCTTTTGTACATGTCGTAAGTGTGCTCTCAGCACAAATACGAGATATGTGTCTTTTGACATGAACGGTATTTTTCTCGTCGTTGAGACGAAAATGGGGAAAGTATATGATCATAAAAAATACGATCTAGATAAAAAGATGAGCTATTAAACTGAAAGAAGGCGAGAAAGCCATTTTGTGAATTGGTGGCGTACAAAACGATTCACAGAAGAAAAGATGCACAACATTTCGATGGATAGCAGAATAAAGCTTCCACAAGAATGGTTATTACGCTTCATTTCACTTGAATAAAGAAATGTTACATCAAAGTTCTTTATACATACATGGCAGTTTTCAGATATAAACATTTGTTCTTTGCGATGCTCATGATATCTGAAAACTATTATTAAAATTGGCTACAGAGTCACTAAAAGCGCTACTGTGTCCAAATAATATGAATGTAAGGGGGAACAAATCGGGAGTAAGTTTGTTTCCAAAGGTGCTATTTATAAGATTCGCCATTTCACATTCTGATTCTTAAAGTTCTCATTAAAAGTCTGAATTCAGTTTCTCGAATATGTCAAGTTTAAAGGTTTTACGCAATAAATTATTTTTTGCAGTTAGCAAGACTTTGCATGGCATCTTCAATAGTATTACGACAAACTGCTGTAGGGTTTATATTTATTTTAACTAATTTTTTTTACCTATCTTTCCTGTCAAGCCTACTTTCCCCTGGAACTGCCAAGCCAATATGTAAATTTGAGTAGAACGCGCAAGCATTCAAATTATCAGCGGAGTATGGTTTAAATAGAGGAAACAAGTTCATTGGAGTTATTCTTACTTAGCGAGCGCGGAGGTAGTTAGAGATTTGAAGAACCCCGCGTTGCGGCCTATGTGCTTGGCGGGAAGTAGTTGCAATTGTTCCAGTGAGCTCAAGTCGGCTGAATTAGCTGCGGTATTTGTAAAACGCGGTGAGTTATTTAGAGACCTCGTAGTTAGAATCTTGTCTTTATTTCTTTTCAGGTTATTATTTTATTTTGACTGCCGAGTTGGCAAAGTTTGTAAGCGTCAAGACGCATTGTAAATTAGTACGTTGAATAAAAGGGACTTAACCCTTATAAGACTCTGGGTTGAACAAGCTTTCAACATCCTCTTGGCGTGCTAGTTAGAGGCGCGCAACGTTATATTGGCGCCCGAACACTTATCGAACTGAAAGCCGAAAACTGGATGGAAGCCGCTGGACAACACCAAGAATGACAACTCAGTTAAAGGATTGGATACCTGTCCAGACTTGAGAGCATCAATCAAGCCAAACGTCTATTTCGACGGAAAAATTCGGTGTCCGTATTTTTAGAAGGTAGAAACCACTTTCAGCTCTACCTGTGCCTGAAAGACAAAAGTCGCCTCGCCACATCAGCACTAGAGGACAGGCCGCGCTATGGTGAAAATATAGGCAAATTTCTTCTAGGTGAATTTGGAAGCCCGACGTATACTTTTTAAATTTCAAAAATGTTAGTAAAGGCCTTCCCATAGTGAAAATCGCGCACGGCTGGCCGAGGTATTAGTTTCTATCAACGGGATGCACAATTGACGGACTTTATTTTACGAAAAAGCTAACGGATATGCTGTATGGCAAGACCGATGCGGAGATTATTGAAATATATTACCAAGATGTTACCCCGCTGTCCAAGACTACTTGAAATAGAAACCCAAGAACATTGCAGGAACTCTTCGAATTGGCGGTGAGTTTCAAAATCGCAGATTCGCGGAAAGAGCGAGAGG